CACGACCAAATAAATAACAAGTTTATATAATAACAACATACGGCAGCGGTATGAATATTATAGGGTCACCTGCATCGTATTAAAATTCTAAACCGCGACATACTTCTCGCGCGCACACCGTCCTTCTTACCCTTTCGATGATTAAAAATGGAATAACGGACCTCCACTGGTAGCGAACAACATGATGTGAGGTTATGAGGACAAAGATCGTGAACCCAGGACCGTCACCAGGGGGAGGGTGTCACGGGACTATTTTACACCAGGCCCCGGTCCAGGAAAATTTAAAGAGGGCTTCCTTAAAGTTCAGATCGATGAGAAATACTCAGCGTTACTAAATAGAGATTATTGATGTTAATGTATTATTTCTAAACTATTTTTCTTTATGAAATGAAATGAATCATTTAAATTTATAATCAAATGCTACTGTTCAGGCTACATTTTCAATTATTCTGATTTCTGAATAGTAATAAGTTATTACTAATAATTGTAATTAATAATGGTTTATTGCCGGAGTGTGGAGAATGACAAAATTCTCTCCAGATTTACGTCTGTTTATAAATCACCCGAAAATAAATGAAATTTTCATGAAATCTGATAACTGGTAATATCGTTCAGAAGCTAATGAAAATGTAATTCGTTGTAACGATACGTTTAAATGAACTTGATTGGTTGAAGTTTGGAAAATAATTTATACCAACATTTTGCAAATCCGGTGAGTATTTTTTTATCGTACTCGTATATTATTGTGATGATCGTGGTGCCCCAGAATCAATTTGCCCCAGACCCTGAAAATCTTAAGTACGGTTCCGCGTGAACCGATCACAGATCCTTTGGTGATGCCGATGACATCTGTACCGGATTCCACCCGACTTGGTCGTTTCGCTCGTCGGTGCACTGCGCCCGGACCACGTGTTACTCCGGTGGCTTTTCGCATACGTCTTACGGGTTGCTGTTCGTTTCGAAATCACTTTTACCGCGGTAAAACGATCTGAATCCTTAACCTTCGGCCACGGGCCGTGGAGATGCTTATGGATACGGGACTCCTGCAAACGAGAGTTGCATTCAGTCGGACAAGACGATCGCCCTAGGCCGTTATCGTATTATCGATCGGATTGGGTGTAGGACGCGTGCGCTTGAATCAATAGACGACGGTCGGAATGACTAGAAACGTTTACATTGTTAATTTTAAAATACACGCGTCCTTGGCGAACGCATGTCCCGATAACGCCATTGTTTCGTCGGGAGTACAAGGCGATAACGGAAGAATGACGGATGGCCAGCTTACCGCAATTGACCGCGTTTTCGCCCACGCTTATCACGTTTTTCTGTCTGCGCTTCTCGCCCTCGTGCTCATCGCTATATTATCTAAAACCGTGTTTATATCTTCCGTTATCATGTTATTGCGTCAAGTTTCAACGAGTACCAACCAGATTTTACTTTTTCAATTACCTTCACTTTTTAAATGATCCACATTTTCGATTTAAACAAATGTTACAACATGTTTTGACAAAAACATCCAGTAAGCTCTAATCCCAAGTAATAAATTCCTGTATTATTCGTATTTATTTTGTTACGATAAAACATCGCAAATGATTCCCGAACGAAGTTCGTTCGAATAGATAATGAGTTAAAACAGTTAAATTAAAAAAAATCAAAATAAAGTGTAGGCGGTATTGACTATATTGTATAATTGTCATTATGGTAAAGTTATAAGTACAATGTAACAATAAAACGTAAATCATTCTTGTCCGTAATAACTAAATAATTATCTAAACTGATATTATTTCAAACTCTTTTTATCGAAAACTTTTAATAATATCCATCGATTAGGTTTTTGTTCGAAACATTTAGTGTTCCATTTTAAAAATTATTGATACACACTCTATTTTTTAACATTTAAAATAATACATTTCACTAGATAATGTTATTATTTTATTCAATGTTTAATTTTATATTTAAAACATGAGTGTCAAATGAATGAATTAAAATTGTACACAGTGGAGCTAGTTTTAATTTTAGATAAATAACAAATAATTATTTGTATCTACTATTTAAGTCAATAATTATATTTATAATATTACAGAAACATAGGTATTACAATTATTTTTAGATTTATAAACTTAAACATTTAAAAATCGAAAATATAAATAAAATAAAATAAGAATAAAATATAAGAATCATATGGTCATGTACTTAAGTATATCATTTGCATAACATCATAGTGTTATATTCAAACTGACAAGAATTTTGTAGATAAAACGGTTTACATAGTGATCATTGTCATGTGATTGTCTATTAAAAAAATTTAAAAAATCAATATTTCTTTATTCAATCACTTTTTTTTTCGATGTTGACCGATTTATAACCTCCACTAAAACGTATTCTATGGTAACAACATTTTCATTTTTCGTTATTTAGATCAAAACCTTCAAAAATCTTCATTCTTTGTTCCATTACATTTTACTTGTCTTATAATGCGCTCATTACTCATATTATAATACCTATGTGCGTCCTTGTAACTCAGCTCGTCTAAACATGAATATTATAATACGTTATTATGTTTAATTCGTTATAGATATTATAATATTTTAGAGATCGGTAACTCAATATTATACTTAATCAAATCGTATACGACAAAAATATCTTGCCCTTAATATCTTCTATAATTTATTAGATCATTTTCCAATCGTTATCTTTTGGCCTTCTACAATATGCATTCTTTGAGATTTAGGTTACAGTGTATACATTTTAGCCGAAGGAGAAAACAAAATATATAATGCAGCATACCCTCTTCCCCCGCTCATATGATCCAACTGAAAACTACTAACAGTTATTAGCATTACCGCTCTCCCAATTTAAAATAAACCTTCGATACTGCTACAACAATCCAAATAAAAATTCAATGAGCATTAATAAATCGGCGAAAAAATGTTGTCCATGGTATACCGTCGTAATATATAACCGTCATTGTACTCGATTGCTATTCGTGCAGTGCTCTCTGACGGCCGACGACCCACGTGAGCACACGTCGCGGTGCCATCCGGTAGATGGGTATCTGGTGACATTTCGCGTACACTAGACTTCAATTATTAATTCACAGGCGTGGACTATAATCAGAGGTGGAACCAGGAATTTTTACGCTCGAGGAAAACATTAGGATTACGCCCTATCGTAGACCAATAATTAAATACACTTAGCAATAACTTTTTTCTAATAATTAACATACAATCATACTTGTTGAGTTTTGAACCTAATATCAGTGCTTAACAAAGTTAAAAACATCAAACTAGTTGTTAATAACTACAAAAATTTCACACTCTAAAATTTTACGCCCGGGGTTGTGTCCCGGTCTTCCACCCCCTAGTTCCACCCCTGACTATAATGCATACCTGTTGAGATGTGTTGGTATAACATGGCAAACTAAGCGCCAAAAAAATTCGCGAAAAATGCAAAAACTACAAATATTTAAATTATAAGCGAACGTCGAACCCGGAATCGTTTCAATGAGGAGATAATTAAAAATATGGTTTGTAAAAACAGTATCGACTGCGAGGGCTTAATGTTGTTCGTCGGAATACTAAATATCATATGCACAATACAATTTATGATTATAACAGTGGACGATAATAACATAATTGAAAGACGTACCAAAATGGAAAAACCGGATATAAGACTAGTTCTACAACATGCATAACATGATTGATTTTTACAAATGGCAAATCTAAAATAAGCCAGCTTTTCGAATGATTAAATGATTAACAGAAGTGCATTAATTATTACTTCATACTTCAAGTGTATGATATTTTACTGATTAAAAACGAAACATTCTTATAGTCGAATTGCCGTAACTGTACATTAATAATATTGCTGTGACGTAAGCTTTTTTTTTTATTTGTGATTTTTAAATTTAAGGGGGTAGGGGGAGTAGACCATAATTAGCCATCCGTAATTGTCTCTGGCACAGACGAAGGTTTTCCGAAGGCCAGGCGCCGAGCTAGAGCACAACGCATTTTTGTCGACAGCTCTTGATCACGACGGTTAAGTCCCGTTGCTAGCCGATGTCCAACGGACGATAAACGACTTTCTTGGCAACGACCGCTGCGCTTGGATACAATAAATTAATGTTGTTACGAATCTCGTTAATATTATCACTTCTCGTTTTGTAGTCCTAACACAACAACACCACATCCGGTAATCCGAAATTATATTTTGCAATAAAATATATTTTGACATTTTGACATTTCATACCCAAAAGTTTGTACAAACTAAAGGATGGCATCCGATCACGGAGAATGCGCGGTAGAAGGCCACTGTCCCATCCATAACTATCCCGCGATGACCTATTGGTTCACAAATGTAGTGGGTTTGTTCCTTAGCGTCAGAGGTAATTATAATTTCATCGATCGTAATTTACAAAAATAAAACCTAATGTCGTAAGAGCAAAATTATTAAATGTATTGAAATACATATACAGAATAGTACGTTTAATTGAGTATACTTCAGTTGTAATGAACACATAATGTTAGCCCTTGTGTTTATATTAAAGTATAACATACTAATAAAATATATGTACTTAAGAGGGTTGTAATTAGCGAAATAAAAAAATGAAAAAATTTCAACGATTTGAAAATACATACAATAACAAGTGTGCTACTGTTTAAAAAAGTAGCATAGAAAAATAAGGCATCATGGTAATAGTAATAAATCTAGAAGTGAGATTTCTTTGGGGGTAGCTATGGGACCGTATGAGATTTTCATGTGCGTACAAAGTATTCTACGTATTGTTTTATCCAACGGATTAAGTGGGAAACATTCGGATTGTATCACCCTTTTCCATTACCACACCCTGTATCAATGAACCTGTTTGAAATCGATGTTTTTAGGTTTAGTTCGGCGTTTTTTAACCGACCGTTTTTTAACCTCTAGTATTTTCATAAAGAATTTTTACATATACATAAATAGAAGTATTTCAATAAAAAACTTTATTAAAATTAGTGTTCTGATTAATTCGTACAATAAATTATACTATATTATTATACAATTATAAAATGGATATATATAAAGACTGCTCACCATAACGGTTAGCAGTAAGTTGTCTGTCCATGGAGATGACCTTATACATAACCCAGGTACAGGATGAAAACAACCCTACGCCGTTGTTAAAGTAATGAAAAGGAGAAGAAAAAATATATTTTAATAATAATATATTTTTTATAAAAAAAAATAGTGTTATTTTTAATTTAAAGGACCACACAACACAAAAATATGTTTTTTTTTATTTGAAGGAATGTTCAATTTTAAAAATAATGATATAGGTTTTACGTTTCTAACTCACATTATTCAATAAGTAATGAGCAATTGAAAAAATACGCGTGACGTCAATGGGCCCTACTCATTGTAGTTGCCTATCTTATACGTGTAAAGTTCCTCGCTTCACACAACGATTTACCAACCTAAACATTTTATTTTAGAAATTTTTAGGTTGGTAAATCGTTGTGTGAAACGAGGAACTTTTACACGTATAAGATAGGCAATTACAATGAGTAGGGCCCAGTGACGTCACGCGGCTATTTTAAAATTCTTAATATCTCTTAAACTTTTTTCAAATCGGAATTTCACCAAATCATAGCCATAGCAATAGAATTTTAACATTTGAAAACAATTTAAAGAATTTTTTTTACCTATGTTGTGAGCTCCTCTAATAATAACAACATTCGTTTATCTACAACTAGAACATGACTAAATTATTTCTTCCATCTCCTTCTAAGTAATGTATTGCGATTTATTCGGTTCGGACATGGACACCTTCAGATAACCATCGCTATTTGCTTGAAACGTGTACATAACCATCGTAGTCTTGTTGTTACACACAACCCTGAACACGCAGGTGCAAGAAGTCGCCAAATCGGTCTGTTCAATCGTATTACCGCTGTTGGAGTAGTCGCAGTACCCTTGCAACAAATTCACGTCCACGGGACCGTTAGTGATCATGTTCTTCTGGTACTGACGGCACACTTCTGAGCACACCTTCCGGCCTCTTTCCGAAAACCGTATGTTCGATGCCGTGTTTGCTTGCAAAGTAATCAATATCTCGCAAGTGTTTATCGACTTGCTCGTCGGAAATAAGGAACCTATATGTTTTAATGGAGATCGTGTTAAAAAAATACGTTTATTGTAGCCGTCAAAGTACAAATTAATCGCAGTCAAATATAAATTGTTTATTGTTCAGTAAACGAGTCCGAAAACCCCAGCGTTTAATAATTGGGTCCCCAAGACCTTTATTTGGTCTGAATAGGTCCCAGTGTTTTACGGAGTACTACATTAGTTGGGTCCCATGATTTTACAAGACTCTACTTAGAAATGAGTACATACAAAAATATATGGGTCCATACAAAAAAAAAAAAACTAAACTTCCCTTCTCACGAGATCCGGATTTCGGATGTACGCTTCACCGTCATTTAATTTGCGCAGTGGCACTACTCAAGAACAGACAAGCTGTGGACGAAGCCGTGGGGAGGCGGTGACTTATAAACATTAATCGGAATCCAACTCGAATACACCCGAAATACCACATCACCACTGCGTGTACTTATTTGAACGATGTACGGGGCATTATATTCTTACAAAGTGTGCACGCTTGATAACAATATCTATTACACCAGATAAATTATAATGAGCTTTATTATATACGTTACCCAATACTTCCAAAGGATTTCGGAACAAACCGGTTCCGCCAGTTGGATATACCATCGTGGTATCCGAATTATCAAGACTTTCCGAGGGTTTGTTAGTTCTAGGTGCATCTGTGCATCGTTCCACATTATCGATGGAGGGCAATTGCACTGTGGGCTCGGTGATAGCTACGATACAAACAATTCTATATTGTATCTACCAGTGAAGACGTCTTGTAAAATAATTGTTACTAATTAATACGTACGTATTGGTCGGCACCAGACGACCGAATATAGTTGAATCTTCAGAACAGTCACAACAATCAAGGAAAAGGAAAACATCTTATAGACTTTAATGAATCCAAAAGATATAATATTTATTTATTTATTTTTCCGTAAGACAAATCTTAGAATCTGAAATAAATGTTCAAATGGTCTACTTTTATTTTGTACCATCAGGCTCCTACGTAAAGGCGGTTGGCCTCAAATGGTAAAGCGTATGTCCTTACAATTACCCAGAGACAATAAAATATTTACATTTATGTATGTGCGGGTGACCAATAATATTAAAAATAAAAATACAATTAATGAATGGCCGGTGTTGGGCCTACAACACTTTAATAATAATAATAAAGAAAAATTATTATACAGAATAGAAAAAAAAAGAATGGGCGCCCTCGTCTATCATAAACACACAAATGTAAATTAATAAAATACAAGTAATACGAGATAAAAGAAAAATAGAACAAATATATACATATGTAGTAATCTATTCACATAAAAGTTGATAAAAAGGTAAAACATCACCAACTGCAGGAGAGCCAACTGCACAGCATGGACCGGCGGCACACAATTTCGGTCACACTGGGACCGACCAACAGCAAGCACGCACGACGGCGAAAGGGCCGACCAACAGCAAACACGCACGACGGCGAAAGAGCCGACCAGCAGCAAACACGCACGAAGGTGAAAGGGCCGACCAGCAGCAAACAGGCACGACGGCAACGGACCGACCGGCGGCAAAGCACACACGACGGTGTAAAAAATAACGCACCGAACAACGCGCACACACGACGCAGAGCGACAAAAAAAATATTATCGTCCACAGCGGACACTCACGCGTCGGCGAAAACCGCGGTCACGCAACGATACGTACTGTGTGAGAGTTCAAGTACGACGAAAAACGCGACAGGCCCGGTACGGCTCGATGGTCAAAATTGCGATAACGCAGGGCAGAGCGGGGAGGGTGGTACAAACAATAGAATTTTCTAGAACAAAATAGTTTGTTATCTTTTGAACATATTTAGTTTATTTAATTTGCATTGAAACACCTAATTTTTGTTGCCGTAGTATCTTGTTATTTATTATTATTTAACGGCTTGTATTTCAGCCAGTATACTCGTATTAAATAAAGTTCTGTTTAATACAATGATTTTAACTCTCTGTACTATGAATATGCCATTTCTGTTCTGGGTCTTGACATATATCAAACATTTGACCAAGTTTTTTACACTAGGTTTTCATTGTAAACTTCGGAAGTGTCTTCATTCAGCACTTTTTCTATTTATAAAATCACATCTAGAAAATCTTCATTTTCAAATACGGCATGGTTCAGTTTTTTCAGATGTATCTACAATAAATCCTGGTGTCCCACAGGGAGGTATACTTTCTCCCATATTATTTAACTGGCGACCAGCCACGGCTCCGTGCGGATATTATCTGGGTTTGCAATAAAATTAATTCGTAGAAATTTGTGATCATCGGGTCGAAGTGGTAGCAAGCTCCTAGCTAAGTGATACACTTGCCCTTGAATTTTAAATTTAGGCATAAAATCATGCTCTACGGCTTGCTTGCTTTTGAAAGATGTAATTTAAATGCGTCATTGTAATGGCGTGTATTGCACATGAATTTTTTGAATTTCCGTCTTCCTTTTTTTTTTTTTTTTCATGATTTATGAATTTCACGTGGCTTCTTTATTTTATTTTTCATGTCTATCGTCCTCAGACTGCACGTTTTTCTATACAATTAGTTTTTTTTTATCGTATAAAAATTACTAGTGTATCGAAAAAAAAGAAATTATTTTGCAAATTTTTTGTTATTTATACCAATACCAATACGAGTATACATACACAGTGTGTCGGAAAAGTTTCCGAAATCTCTCTCCAGGACCTGTACAAGTGATACAATCTATCAAACAAAACTGGTACTATGTAGCTACATTTATCAGTAGTATGTGTACAAAATTCCGTTCAGTATTTAACGAGCTAAGACGTATTCGAGGAACGCGTATTGATGTCGCATGTACAGATCGCGAAACGGAGGAAAAATTCGAACAACGTTCCGCAGTTAAATTTGGTGTTGGACTCAAAAAAAATTTTTAACCTAACCTAGACACCCCCTCCCCACACAGTTGCGCCCGTACTTGACGGTATGGTTGTCCACGGTCGCATAATCCTTACATGCACGAGAACTTATCCGGAACGTGACCGCTGTGGAAAACCAAGGATTACCGTTGCGACGGGGGAAAAACGTCGAGGTCGACTTTATAAGATTGTACTCGATTTCTATACGTGCAGTGCGCTCTGACGGCCGACGGTCCACGTGAACTCGGCCAAACGGTGCCGACCGGTAGATGGCTTTCTCGTTACTCACGAAATCGTTTCGCATTTTCGGCCTCTACCCATCAAATTCATTTTAATGTTCCGTACGCGCACACGAAATTGTGTATAGTTTTTTAAACACTTCAACACCCGAAAATTCGATTTGGAAATTAATTGTCCTACATCAGAAATCGTAATGTAGGTACAATCTTAACAATTTATATTATTCTTTTACGATTTGATAATTTTCACGTGATACGTACTGGACGCGATGTAAATAACCTATCCTGCGACGTTATACTTGGTTGAGTATTTTGAATTACAATCACACGATGTTTTTGTATTTTTTATACATTTTTTCGTTATTGCGAAGTGTTTCGACGAGGAGATAGTGTGGACGAGAAGATTTGCATGGTCAACGGTATTATTGTGAAATATTTTTCGACGAACGGACGCGACAGCCTCTCCGTCGTCTTTAGAACGTACCGTCAAGCGAAATGTTGCATTTGCACCAGGGAGACCGTGTAAGGAGTCGGAAGTAAATGGTTGGAAAAACTTAAGATCCTGTGAACCAATAATTTGTCGGTGTTCCCCAAAGTTGAATGCCGCAGGACATAACGGTTCGTGGACCCCAGGGTTTGTATCGGAATGCATAGTTGTATGTGTATGACCTGTGCACGATTACTTATTATGACTGCCGTCTCGTGGACAACTAGAGCAAGAAATCGGATTACATTTACGGGGCAGTACATTCAGTCGGTTTATTACCGCCGGAGAAAAATACAATTACTGACTACCTACCGAGTGTGTGCGCACTATTCAGATTATCCCGTTATTCGGGGTCCCTAAGCTATTCACCAAACCTAAGCACCGTGTTCGGTGCATTCGAAAAAAAGCCCACTATGCAAACTCTTAACGGGAGCATTTGAATCCAAAATCGATCCCGTACATGATTTTGAAACACGTATCATTGGGCATTTATATCCGTTTTCTGTACAAGCCACTTGCACTACTATCGTGCAACACATCTGACACACGATAAAAAAAATACACATTTCAATCAGATAATCGTTGCTGACACACGTAAACAGATTTAATTGGTCGAATTGAAAACGATGAACTTAAAGACTTATTTTCTTTTAAAAAATTACTACTCGGACGTTTAGATTTATCCGTATATAGTTTTAGATCGTATAGTTTACGTTGTTCGGTATCACATAATGTATCCACAGCATTCTTAACAGCTCGTAGAGATAAAAATAAAAATCCGTACCCAAGTGAAATATTACACTTGAAATGTAATTCCTAACCAACGAATAATTTTCCTGAACCGGGATCTGGATTTTTATCTGGGTGCAATGATAACGTTAATTTTCTATAAGCTTTTTTTTTTTTTATTTCAGCATAAAAATCAACACCTAACATTGACTATTTTTCACTCTAAAAACACAATGAATCGTAATATATTAGGTATAATTTTTAGTAAATTATATTAATTTATACGATGCAGTATCCAAAAAACGAAAGCGACACGTGCAAGACGCAACGAACGCGATTGCGCAAAGGTTCGCGTCGAAAACGAACAAACCCTGCCGTCGGTAGATACCAGCAGGGATGGATAATGGTAATAACAAGAGGACAATATTTCTTTTAGTTAGGCCTTTTTACAAAAAACCATTTTTTTTTTCAGATTTAGTTATTTGTAATAAATATTAATTAAAATAAGTTAAATTTATTTTTATGTTGTCAGTGCCGGATCAATAAATTTTCCACATGGCGGCAGATTTTAAAATTCCGCGCTTCAACCCCCTCCACAAAACAAAATATATATATATATATGTGTGTGTGTACAACAAGTCACAACATAGTTAAGATTGTTTAATCAATTTATATTTATAAACATATTGTAACACCGATAGTTTTTAAATTTATAGACCCTAGTAGATACTAAATATAAATATTTGAATACAAATTTATTCAATATAAAACATTTACAACTATTTTTTAGCTTTCTGTGCAGCAAACTTTTTAATAATATCATTCCAACCTATACTTTTTAGGATATATTTACAATAGATATTAGAGACAACTATAATATATTTTCATTAGATAATTATGTTTTCTGGTAGTTCTTAACTCTTTTTAAAACTGAGAAGGATCTTTCTCCGCTATCATTTGAACATGATATAAATATAAAAAGTTTTAAAGCTATTTCCACAATAGGAAATGAATCGTTTAACTTTGATACTGTTAATACATCAAGAAAACTGTGCATAGATAATTTTTCATCTTCTGAAAAATACTTCATTATTGTTTTAAATTGTATAATCTCATTTTCAAGTTTCGGTTATAAATACTATAAGCTAATTAATAATAATATGGTTATACCCTTAATATGCTAAACGCCCACATACGAAATAACTCGGCTGTTTAATATAATATAAAATAACTATTATAATTATAATATTATATAAAATTGTTATTAATAATTTTTCCTAAAAACTAATATATACATTAGAAAATTTCAAAACTTTTGTTGACGCCGTCAAAAAATTGCCGCTCCAAAAATTTTACCGCTCAGGGCAATTGCCCCCTTTACCCCCCTTAACCTGGAACTATATGTTGTTGAAAATCATAATAACATTTTATTTTTTTTAACATATTTATTTCATGCCTTTTTATATGGAATAAAAATTGGCAGTTTATTGTGGCCCCTTTCAACTTTTGGCAAGGGGCTATAGCCTATAATAAAGGTAAAACTTTTGCATTTTTTTTTAAGAATTTCGTTAGTTTTAACTTGTATATTTCCACGTTTTAGCTTAGTAACTATAACCTAAGTAACTTAGTGTCCAATTTAAAAGTAGTTTATTAATTTACGTTCTCGATGCATATTGATCGCCTTCAGTGTCCATCAAGTCAAACTTTTCAAATGTCGGTATTTTGTTTTTAATCGTAATAAATGTTTTTTTCGACGGTATTTTTTAGATCATTGATTATTGTTTTCGCGTTCTCGCGAGAATCAGATTAGAATTTTTTTTTTACGAAACGCGGTTTACCGATATAAATGTACGCCTACTGGAACGCAAACACGATCGTCTTTACCGCCATTATCGACATTGAACCGGTGTTACACGTTTACACCTGTTCGTGCACCGGTTTACGTCGAACTACGTTTTCCTTTCGTAGCCTGATCGATGTTTGTTTTTTTTTTTGGAAATTTAGACGAACGAAAACAGTTTGGTTATGGTAAAAACAAATAATACGTAGCCTACTTTTATATGTTTCGTGATCATATGTCAAGCAACGCGATTTCTACAAACATCGGTACACATACGTACATTTCAACCGAACCGAACCGGTCCTCGAACCACAATCGTACACGCGCATAGACCTACTTCGACCGAAACGCATAATTTTGTAATATGGCCATAGTCGGAAGATTTTACGCAGACTTTTTGCTTCGTCACAGCCATCATATATGTACAAACGGTTATGATCTGCTCCGTGATGTATTAACAACGTTAAACTCAAACGCGTACATCTGTTGTGGTGTTGGACAACAGGTCAAGTCATGACAACGACTAGTGACAAATCTGTTCACGCTCGACCGGTGATAAACATCGACACGATTTCCGAACGAAAACAATAATAACGATCGCTCGGCAGTTTAAGACTTTTAAAACATTTGCCACGGAGTAAATCTGTTTCGTATACACGCGTGCTGTGTAAATATTTTAGTATCGAATATTACGATTAATAACGGTATTTTTTTAGTGTTATAATATTATAGAAAAGAAATAGTTTACATTAAAAGAGAAATCACGAAAAAATAATAACGTGACGGTAATTATTAAAAATTCAAACTAATTAAGATAATTTTATGCTAAAGTTGGAGAATGCTAATTTATTCGAATGCTTTAATATCGCGTATTACTTTGAAGTCTCTGTCACTTTGCTTAATGTCGTACATGTTACGCTATGGGTTTAAATTATATTGCAATATTAATAACGCGTAAAATTAATAACCACCGTTATTAAAATGTATATTATTTCATCAATTTACCGTCACACGTTAGAACTAACAAGTGCAAACTTTACATAAATAAATACTTGTTACAAGTGTTGAAATATTTTACGTACACAGTGAGAATGTTATTAAAACAAATTTAAAATTTTGAAATTCTCACTCTCATTTCAGGAAAATTAAAATATTTACTCTATTTACTCTGTGTGCAGTGCATGCATGCTTAATTAAAAGTTGTAGAAAGCATGAAACAATAAATTATTTCAAATAAGCCGAACAAGTAATTAAATTTGATCGAAGAACTTGATTAAATTTTATATCGGTAAAAACTTAATATCCAAACGATATTTCTTTCGTACGCCGGTGTGCACCAACTGATTAATTATGTAGTGATCACGGGAAATTGTCAAAGAATATCTGAATTTAATATGCTTGTAAAAATCGTTTCTCGACGTGCTTGATTCATCGGGTTACACTTAAAAATATAATACAGTTGACAAACGACTGACGATAATACTAAAATGAAAATAAAATAAAATCATTACATTTAAACGAAAACCTGATGATAATAGGTTTAGAAATCTTGATAGGACTTATCCGAATGGCTTGATATAATTTTACATTACTGTAACCATCAGATAGTGTTCTTTATTTCTTTTTTTCGTAAAAACTGATGTATAAAAGCTTGAATTCAATGAATCTGATTTATTAGTACAAACTGAAACCTATGAAGTTATGTGCCTTATGTATTGAGCTACATCATGAAATAAAAAATGATCGCCTGGAGTAAATAAATATAAATATAAATATTATATATATACACCTTTAAAATAGTATGTATTTATATCCTAACTATTTATTTACATAGAAGTTACCCCGAAAATGAGTATACGTTGTTAAACAGAATGAATACAATTCTCGAGACAGTATATAACGTTATACATATAGTATTGGATTTAAATTACATTTTTTTTTTTTTTATATATATATAAGTAGGTACTTACATTTTAATATAACTTACTTGATTTTTAAAATAAAAAATCAATATAAAGTGTCTTTAATGACAAAAAATAAAACTTAGCGAAATATTCCTAATTTTAATAACATTATATCTGGTTGTGTTACAATGTATAAGTTTACGAGTTTTCTAGAAACAAAAACAAAATATAATTGTTTCAATTAAACATTTTTAGTATCCATAAAACAATTGTAGTAGTTATTATTATTATTATTTTTAATAGTTTTTCCGCAATGAAAATTAATTACCTATAAACTTATTAAACTTATTAAAATTAAAAACTGTACTATTCTGAATTTTAATCGGTGTATATTATGTGCATGGGATCATTTATTTAATTCAAACCGTTTATATGAGTATGATTATACTCCTGTGTATATTATGTTAGTTTATACAATAATTATTTATCAATAAATAAATATTAAAATATTAGTATAATCAAATTATATTATGTATAATTTAAATTTTCATTGATATTTTAGAGTTCATAAATATTTCCAATTTGTTTTTTTTATTTTTATAAGTACTTTAATTTGCATTGTAATAAGGTTAAAAATGACCGAATGGCTTAAATAAAAAAAATGAATTAAAAATTTAAACTCTTTTGTTAAATAATACAACGATATACTTAAAACTCGTATTATGCTCGTATACATAGGTACGTTTTTTATATACATGTGTGAACATTTATTTCGTTTGACCTTATCAACTTGTCCTTATTTTTAACATACTAATATAATATATAAGAAACCTTTCGTTATAAATATAATCTTATACATTCTTGCGAATATTAATCTCTGTATTTTCCAACGTATTCTTCAACTTTTGCGATGTACTTCTCTTGGCATTCTTCCTTGGAAGTGCCCTTCAAATTGGTCCAGTATTCCCATTTTTTTTTGCCTTTCAAGTCGAACATGCCGGGTTTTCCTAGAAAATGAATACAATTTATTACTGATCGGTCGGTCGTTTCGATCACGACCTCGTCTACTCGTCGGACGCGTTTGTTACGGGTGCACATGCAACGTGTGTAACAACTGTATCGAGTTCGTGAACTCTGCGCGGCCATACGATAGATCGAGACAGTAATTTGATGGGGCATTTCTTTCGTCAAACTTCGACCGTCGGGTCCCAGAAAACGGATCTCGCCAGTGGCGTAGCAAAAGTATGGCGAACTGTGCCTACGCAAGGGCGCAAAATTGTACAAAAGTCGTATTTTTATCCTACAGTTAAATCGACATTTTTCCGTTATACTTTTTGAAATACGTAGATGTTGTCTAAATAGACAACTAATTCAACTACGTGTGAATGTAATGATGAAAGTATGAAAGTAGGGTATTTATGTAAAAAATTTCATATGAAGAAATTATCGATGAATATGCAGTCATAAAGCATGAATGGTAAATTTTCAAAGTTTAAAATGAACACTGTAATAATAACTTTTAAGTATAAATTGTATACTTAAAGAAATTATTAAGATTAAAGATTAAAAAAAATATCATGACATCAAACTTTTAATCGGTTAGAAAGGTAACTTTTTCTAAGTTTGCCAGGGGTACTAGCCAGTCTTCCAACGCCACTGGAACTCGCGTTTCCGTTTTTTTCGCACGAAAAATGTGCAGACGAACAGTTGGATGACAACCTAGTACGAACCGATTGGAAAATATCGACGGTCCGGTGATTGCGCGAAATTGCCGTAGGTGCATATTTGTTCACGTTGGTATGACGCAAGACCGGCGTGTGTACGTTCGTTACATTCGAAATGTCAAAAGTCAAATAAGAGAACGTCAGATGCGAGGATCTGACGAATGCTCATAACTAATAATAGTAATGTCTGTGGTTAGGGCTATGGGGGTGCGGTACCCTCCCCCTACGATCAATCTATTTACACGGTCGGCGATCGTCAACAAATGAAGTAAAATTAGTGTTGTGGAATATCGTTTTAGAAAGTAGTCGGAAAATTTGTACATTTATAACCCACTCCTAAGGTAAGTTATGTTTTATTCGTTTACATAAGAATTAAATTTCAAGTAATAAATTATTAATGGATTAGACATTTTTGTGTCTTAATATATATTATATGACTACATCAAAGGACCCTCCCCCCCCCAGAAAAAATTCTAAAAACCACCACTGTGCGTATGCATATATCTACTCCACTGTGATGATATTAAGTAAAAACATTGATGCCAAACCAACCGGTGTCATTGTCCCCGACCGTTGCTTGTTTGTACAACGCGTAAAGTTCCAACAGTTCGACGTCGGTCGGTCTCTTCGTGAGCGATTTCACTTCCTCGGCGGCCGCCTCGAAACGCTGAAAACAAACAAAAATCCCCGTTCGCTGTATCATCGTGTCACGTATTACGTACATCAGGAATAGGACACATAACATGCACGGTAACGATAAATCATAATATTGTTATTGTTGTTATTATTAACGGCTGTGCCGAAATGGTTTTTTTTATTATTTTTCTATTACGCACGAACCAATCGTGACGATGACCGTACATCGTAATCATCATCATCATTACGCATGTTTTTGTACAAATAGAAAGCGATGACCCGAGTGCGCGGCTTGCGCGTGTACGCGGATGCGGAAGAAATCTTCGGTGGCCTGTAACGAACGCGCTACGTATGCATACGAAACATACGCTCTGTATATACGCTCCGGTACGTGCGCGAATAGGCCGTTTGCTCGTACATTTGACCGTTCAGGTACAGACGGAAACGGTTAGCCTCGACCAGGTTCTTACGTATACTTGCTGACCTCCATCGTGCGCAGTTGCTGGACGACGCGTATCTCTTACGCGTATCTTTTACGCGTATCTCTTCGTGTGCGCATTTATATTCGAAACGTTCAACCTAACCTAGGGTTACGCGTCCGAAAACTCGAATGTTTTATCAAAAATGCGTGCTTCTCACTCGAGGAATTACACACCGTTTTCGACGCCATTTCGTGTGCACGTAAAAAACGAGAAAGAAAATGCAATAATAACACGACGGGTGTAGTACATAGCTGCAAAATCAGTAAAATGTTAGTGGATTTATCGTTTATGTTACCACCGTTATGCGCGTGCACGCGTCTTCAAAGCTAATACATGATAATTACGATTATCTCGTACGGTTAAACGTAACATCGTGTTCCATCAGTATTTTTAACCATATACTGTGATCCGTTTAGAAAATAACACCGCACGTACTTGCGTTACTAGTACTGTATTTCGACAAAACGCAATAACTTGTCGAGTAATTATACGTGCAATATTTACCCGTTCACGGAGTTAGATCCATCGAGATACGCACGGTCAGTGTACCTGGTACACGGCAGTTAATTTCAATGCGAAAGTTAAAACTGCAGTTATTTTATTTTTCTTTAGAAACGCATGATAATGTACCGTAATGCTTACCGATACGATACAATGCTTTTTTTTTGTAAAATGTTATCCAACAGCTAAACTCAACTGGCGTGTAGTTAAGTACAAGTGTTGAAGTGTACAACTGTGGACCGGAAGAGAAACCTCATAATTATAGTCGCATAGAAATTTTAGACGGCCCGTGGAGTGTTCAACATCGAAATGTTCAAGTGTACGTGATCGTATCAGAAAAATGTGTGTATATATTTTGTAGTTTTAATGTAATGAAATCATAGGAAACCGATTATGATTAATGTATTCCCGCATTGATTTTGCAATGTTACCGAAAGCAATGCAGTCAAATATTATAAATGTTGATCCTACATTAGTTATAACTAAAAATCATTAATTTATTTCTAAATAACATGTTGAAAAAGAAATTTAGGTTTTATTTTCGTATTACAACGACCTTTTTGTACTGTAACGGTATGCGCCTAACCATTCATATATTTTCAAAAAATTGAATGTATAATTAAATAATTAAATAATCATAATAATCAGTATGCATTAAATATAAGAATAAGTCATAAGTACTAAAGATAAAATATGACACGTACACGTACACACATACACGCGCACACACATGCGACATTAAATATAAGGAGCAAAATTTGCGAACACAGGGTAGACGTGTTCTTATTGTCATTTTATATGGATGATAAAAGGCGAGTGTAAAAGACTACGCATATTATCTATGTAAAAGGACACAATAAATTGTAAACATTTTATAATAATGTATTAATGTGTGTATAAGTAATTTAAATAAAATTAATAAAAATGAGTTAAAAAAAGAAAGTTATTGTTATTTTAAAATATAATTTAGTTACCTTTTTCCATACCTAAAGAGTCAACTACGGTTTTCAAGAGGCAGGCCGATTCAATCGTTGAAGAGGTAATATTGTTTATGTATGATATAATAAATGATGATTTAAAAAAAACATATAAATTAATACAATGCTTTAATTGTAAATCATTACAGTACATCACTGTAAAATATCGACCGTGCGAGTAAACCCTAGTCAGTTTTCATAAAATCTTATTCCGCGCAAAGTTTGTCAACAGAACTATCTTCTTCGGAAAAAAAGCACGTTCCCGCGGATCATTGATCTTATAACGTCGAGAACGTTTGACACGAGTTTACGGACCATTCACCGTTGGCGGCTCTCAGCGAAAATAATAACGTCGGTGTGCGAGGAAACGATGTGTTGAGATTTAACGCGCGTGCACGTGAAAATATCAAAATTGGATTTTGCACCTAACGTTTTTGCGCGATGCATACGTGTACTGCGCGTAAAAAATGAAAAATCAATAAACGGAACAAATGATTCATAAAAAAAAAAAAAATCACAACGTGCTCGACGGTACGTTGCGTACGGCCGACACTGTGATGTTAAATCTTAAAAATGAGTCAAACAAGTTACCTCTTGCAACGTAGTCATGTTGAGTCGGTTGTGTTTGGCCGTGGACGTACGCGACGCGCGGATGAAAATCGACTGTGTCGCGAGTTCTGTGCAACCGGAGTAGGACGTCGGACGAAACGAAAACTGGTTTGCAGCCGATGTGCTTGGCCCGTACTATTTATACGCGCGTACGGACGCACGCACGCGCTCAAAACAGCGCATCGGTGGACAACATTTTTACCGCGTCACGACGACGATTTCGAGTCGCACAACAAGAGCGTGTGATGCCTAAAAAAAAAAAAAAAAACGTATATAAAACGTGCCTAGAAATTGTTTTTTTTTTTTTTTATGGGGGGTGATGGGTTTAATAATTTTCACTTGACGAGGGAATACAACAGTCGACGTACATCTGTGATCTTATCCGCAGCCGCGATCGCTTATACGATGAAATAACCTCGGTGGAAGTTCATGAAATTTATCTTCAATTTTATTGCATTCTTAAATATTTGTTAAAAATTCGTGGTGGAAGGGGTTGTGACCGCCCTCCTTCTGCGCGCCCCTGTCCGACGTTGGCGGTGTACTTCGTGGGTTCGGGTAGGATAGTTGTTGTGCGAAGGGAACGCGATGAGTTTTATCTCTTTACCACACCACCAGGGGCGTATTTTAGGGGGGACGAAGAGGGTGATCGTCCCCCTCTCTGAACTCGTATTTAAGGAATCGATCATATGTGAGATACACATTTTAAATTTTTTTAATGTAGATCATTTTATAACGATACTTAGTGTCCATACTTAGTGAAAAATCAAATAAAATACAAGCGTAACTTTCAAAACACAGACAGGTGTTAAAAAAGAACTACACAGAAGTCGATTCTAAGTAAATCCGGCATTAGTTAAAAAAAAAAAAAAAAACACAAATATTAAGGATTCACCTGATTTAAATATTACCAATAATTTTACTTGTGAATTTTAGGACTGAATTAAAGAAAAACCTTGAGTCGTCTCCCACCTAGAAAAAAGTCTTAATATGCCCGTGCAAACCACACACTACCCCCACCGTGTTCCGTTGACGATTTCCTCGTGATCGTAAGCAAAGGGCTCCGTTAGCGGGCGCGTACAAACGGACGAGGACGACGAGAAATGGAAAAATATGTTGGAAACCGACGAAAGTTCGTATGTGTATATTCTAATGGGGGAGGAGGGTACACTACGTCGGTGTGAGGGTTTTTAACTGGAGGGAACGGGAAAAGTGTACCGTTCAAAACGTTATGAAACGAATAGATCCGGCGCACGGTCGTGTTAAACCGATATTTGCTATTTAAATTTTAAATTACAGATGGATCGATTTAGCGTTGTTGAGTGCAGGCTATTACCATAATGTTTACGAATTTCAGCGAACACATTATGTAACAATATAACCGTTTTGAATGTGAGGTCGGTAATAACGTGCGACCGCAAAAAGTTTGTATCGATCGAAAACGAAAATATTAACCAATGACCAGGAAAGCAGTATATGTTCGTTTATATCTACCTTACAACCGGGTTTAATCAATTCCTGGTTTTTTCCCGTAATATTTCGTTTGTACGATATGCCGTACAATGTAGACGAAAACAATGGAATGGTATATAACCTATACTGATCGCCGTGCATGTATTGCGCACTAAACACGCGTCATCATTATGTATGCACATATTTATATTATGTATTTACATTATTTTAACCACCGACTTGGCGACTATAATAAAAGATCAGTGATAAATATGCTCACAGGAAACAGCGATCTTTTGATCCATTTTCCGAAAAGTTGACACACCACAGCCGTAATTTAAAGTAATTAATATACGTAGACTATATAATCATATACACTCGAACCGTAGGTCGGTTAGTGTGCATTCATGATTAACTTATACATGGATTTACGTGTACGCCATAGTACGAGCAGTTTTAACGATAGGTTCGTTTTGTTTGCTAAAAAACCGTTTTTTGTGTAGCTTCGCGTTTGTGTGTTCAATCTGTGCTCGTGGAAAATTAAACCGAAAAAAATAAATAAATTCACGATAATTGCATGGAGTTTACTGTATTATGATATTATTTCTAACGATTGTAAATATAATATAATCAAAGTTTACTATACAATTTTTTTTTTTTTTTTTTTGTTTAAAACGAAAAAATAACAATACAATTTAGTATCAGTAAAACATTATTGTTCGTAATACTGGTCTGGATTTAGAAAATCCGAATTATTCAAATTTGTCATATCCGGATTTAGGAAATCCGGATTATTCAGTTTTGCTGTTCGATCACTGGAATTTTCAATCGATAATTGTAAGAAAACTTGTCCGTGTATTTACATCGACAACTATTATTGTTGTATCATTCCTACATTGTATTGTAATATAAATTTAAATCATCTTCAGAAAAGCTTATTCAATAATCATACAAAAGTTATGTAGTTAAAATAAGTTAGTTGAATATTCAGTCATGCTGTCACTGAAAATCATAGAAGTATAACATAAATTCAACAATTTAATACATTTTTATTTTGCTAACTAATAAAAAATTATAAAAATTGTTGTAATCGTGATAAAATACTAATAAGTTTAACTGGAAATTAAAAATAATTATACAAATAAGTTATATAAAAAGCAAATTTACAAATCCAAATAATCCAGATACTTCGGTAAATCCAGATAAGAATTTGATTAAAATCTGGATTTGAATATCTGGATACTCGTACAAGTAATATTTTCAGATTTCATGCCCACCCTTAATTTGAAGTATTATGTATACATGTTTCAAGGCAGACAAGTATATTATCACAAATATTAAGTTTATAATACTAATATTAGTTATCAAAGATACCTCGACAAGACCGTGGTTTCTGTTTACGTCTGATATTTATATTTTTTTTATGTAGATTGATAGTATAGATTGGTGTAACTGTAATATAAAACCAATTTTCTTACGAGTTTAATATGAATATAGTATTGGATATTACAAATCTATGAACAATTTGTCTGCAATATATAAATTATAAATATAATTTATCATGAAATTCTATCACTGGATAGATTCTTCGATCAAGACTGAAATTCGTAACATTACTTTCACATTAATTATTCTGAAGGTAAAAATATATTTACAGTTTGTATAAATAAATGTATAAATTAAAAAAATAATAGGTAATAATAAAATATATCCTTTATATTATTTGATTATATATATATACACTTTTATTAATAAACAATAAAATAACAGAATCACATTTAGGGAGCATATAACTTTCTGATTTTTATGTACACCACAATTATGAATCTAAAACAAAATCTGAGTTCGGTTTACCTCAAGAATAAAGTATACCTAAAGAAACGGCCAGGATAGTTTAATTTCATTTCGTCATCACCGTTTTTCTGATTCCGACAGAAATAAAATAATAATATTGTATTTAAAAAAAATACTGTGATTGAAATTTGGATAAGGATAACAATTGCAAACTTTCTGACGTATCTCAAAGTTATACTGAAAATAACAAATTGTTGACCATAGGCCAAAGACATATACTTTTGTTAATACAAGCCGTAAAGATAGAATAAATTTTTAGGTTATATACCTACTGTTAGCTAGGATGACCAACTTAGTTTCTGATTTATTGAGTAATTACGGCCATTTACATATTAAATAATAGTGAAGCTGTTCGTTATTTGTTTAAAAAAAAATTGTCAAAAATGTTAAATAACAATTCTCTATTTTTTTTTAAAAAAATATAAAAAAAAAGTTTTTAATTATTCTTGAGGTCAGTATTTAGGAGTTTAAAATTTAACACATAACAACAATTAAATATTTAATTAATATTAGTAATTTGTTTGTAGTAAAAGTGGTTTTTCTTGTGTAATTCACCTTGTATGCCAAAAAAAATAAATTTAAACTCATGAAAAAAATTATTTAATTATTTAAAAACATATTGCTATTCATTTTTATTTATTTATTCTTTGATATTATTAAAATATTTTTATGTAAATAATGAAGTAAGAAATAGATTAACCATAATTACCATACCAGCTATGGTATGCTTCAATGTAAACGAGTAAATTATATAAGCGCTAATCGGTGACCTAAAATAATGTTGTGATGTATGAAACTCATCCCTCAACTAATTTTAATATAAATGTATTCGATAGAAATCCATGTGATGACACGTAAATCGCCAAAATGTGTTTATTTATTAATTTCCTCGGTCGGAAAGATTATCAATTATGCCACCTTATTTATTTATTGGTCGATATTCATCAACTCATTTACTCTATTTTTCATGTAGTTATTTTATTATTGTTAAATTTCTTTTTCTTTTTATTATGGTATAAAAACATATTAGGTATAAAGAATTTATAATAGCCATAAAAAATATATCACGTAAAAAATAATTAATGAATTATCTTTATTCTAAATATTATATATTTATAGTTTAATGGTTTGAGATTTATTTAAGAAACTTACATTAAAATGTTTTTAAAAGTATAAGTTATAAATAAATAGATGTAGATAAATTATATTATAATGTTCATTATGAATTGCATTTTTGTTTATCTGAAACTACAAGTATACAACGGGGCATTAAATAAAATTTAAAATGTATTTATTAATTTATTATATTCAATATGAAAAATAGAAAAAATATATAAGAGATATTCCTTGCACCAATCTACCCCATATTAGAAAATAGCTCTGAATGGGTTTATCTATAGGTATGCTCCAATAGATACCATTATGTAGTACATTTTGTATTTTTTCGTCAGTCTTTAACAATTATAAAAAAAAAAAAAAAAAACTGTTGAGAAATTAGTGTTATAACCTCGTCAAAAAACCAACTACACGATATTTCCTATCAGAAAACTTATATGCTCATTAACACAGGCACAACAGAAAAAATAGTGCGAGACAAATTACTAAGTGATGCCGAGTTCGAATCTCGGTTAGAGTTGCGTTTTCTTCGTTTTTCCCAATGATTCGAAAAACGGTCGATAAATTTAAAAAATAATCGGTGGGGGGGATCAGTAGTAGGTATTTCCTATGATTCGTGAAGATTGGAACAATGATTTTAGTCGAAGTCCGTGTGCACCACGGACGGGAAAAAATAGAGAAAAAAGAAAACGAATAAAAAAAATTCTAGTTCGACTCAGGACCTGGTATGTTAACAAGTGGAAATCCAACTGGCGCGCGCAAGGTTTATTATCGAAAGCTTATCGCTGTGTGTTCGAGGATAAAAAGTGATAAAATTAAACGATTGTTATTTCAACGAGACCCGTGTACGGGTTAATGTTTGTTTATTTTTTTATTTTGTTTTTTTTTTATCAATAATCATACTTCACAGCTGGTTCGACACGTGTATCGCTGGAACGCTGTGCGACAACGTCCCGATCGAGGGCGCGCACAGGGCCGGCAACGCGCTCAACGTCACAACGGGGCCACGGGCGGTGCCGCGTCGTCCGCCGCTGCTCTTTTCACGTCCCCGTCCGTCCGTCTGGAAAATGCTTCGGCGTACACGGGCCGCTCGCGGCACAGCGCCTGGGCCAGCCGCGGTTGGTCGCGCAGGGCGTCCGCGATCACGTCGACCAACGCGACGGTCTGGCGTTCAACGGTGGCCGCGGCGTGCGGCCGCTGGACGTCGGACCACGCGTACACGGCCACGCTGCCGCCGGTGTCGGTCGCGCACAGGTGTTTGCCGTCCGCCGAGAACTCTACGCCGGTGAACTTGCGCTCGGAACGCCGCGACTTGTACACCGACTGCGGTTCGAGCACCGACGCGCCGATGTCCCAAACGTGTACGCAACCCTCTGCCGTGTCCGTAACGCCCGGAAAACCCCACACACCGGATTATTAATCACAGCTTTCGCAGCTTAAATAGAAGCCTAATTTTTAAAATTTTTTCGGGAAGGGGTAGGGTGATTAATCTTTTTCAAAACGACCATGGCTTATGTGCAATAAAGCGGTATGATACGTACAATTCTCTTATGGTAGGGAAGAATTCGTTGCTCTTGTAGTTTTTATGTCAACATCAAACGTCTATATTTATAAATCTTCGGAAGAAATAATTGACGAACACTACATTTTTAAACACGTTGAAATATTTCGAAACTCTCTCCGTCTATTTGTACGTCACTGTACACCGTATACCTTTATTCGTGGTTACTACAATACGATCTTGGGTGTGATGGGTAGGTGGCTTACACACCGTAACGTTTCGCGTGACAACGGTACTACCGAATGGCCAACGAAAACATCCCGACCGCGAAAAAAGTCGGTGAGAGATCGCATCTACCTACGGATTGTACTCTTTCGGCGAAGACCGCTTTCTATCATCGATATAAGTTGTTCACATTTTTAGTCAATCAATCCCTTTAGAAATAATGTAGAACATGCAACCGGCTAGGACCAATGATCGTTAAAATATTTTTAAGGGTCGAACTGCACACGTGGGCTCAAGAAAAATGTTTGAAAAAATCTCATTTGTTCTTAAATCATAAATAATAAATTATGTTTGTTGAAAAAGAAAAATCTAATATTAAACTGTATTTTTAATGACTTATAATTTGATTCAAGATATAATTAGAAGAAAATAATTTTAGTATTTTAGTAAACCGCTCGAAATACGTGTCGATCGATTGGCCAATTACGAAACCATTGAATTAATTACCGAGGTATGAAATCTTCTATGACCTATGTGCGATTCGACCGTTTTGATTTCGTTAGGAATTCGAGTGTTTCGTTCGCGAATACTCGATGGATTGTTTAAACTTTACCGTTTACAGACACTATGATGGTAGAATTCGTACGACTCCAGATGGCTTTTTCGATCGGCGTGTCGGCGAGCAAGGTGATCACCGGTTCCGTGAAAAAATCACCGACCCAAATTTTAATCGTGAAGTCATCTCCAGTGGTCAGAAACACGTCCCACGAGTATGGTGACTTCTCTAGCGATTTGATTATTCCGAAATGCGCTTTGGTTCTCGTCGTGTACTTGTATTTCGTCGGATTCTCGTACAGGCACGAGTACACCCACCCGTCCGCGGTGCCCACCACGTATGTATTCTGGTTGAGCCCGATCATTTTTGTCACGCTGCAAATCGATTTCTTCCTCAACAAACCGGAGTCCTGGTCCGTCGGCACGGAAATCTCGTCATCGAACAGTTCCATGATGGTTTTCTCCGTGAACACATTGTTCGACTGACGGTAGCACACGACACATCCGTTCAAACTGCATTTCAACTACAATGAAAACAGTAATGCGTGCAAATATCGAAACCAGCCGGCACGTCGACGATCACAACGACGCGTGTCATGTTCATCGAATGTGATATAAAACTACAAAACTATGACTATTTTCCGTTGGAGTTTAAAAAACAATATTTCAAGAACTTTTGCAAAATAATTATGATTGCAACACACGTGTACATTGATTTTTAACCACCGAACTGACGAATGCGCACACAAATGTGTACACGAAAAAACGGAACGAATACGAATGAATATAAGAATAAATTATTGCCGAGGGTCAACGTGAATCGCCTACTCGTGGGGTGTTCCGCGAGTTGACCTTTTGTGATTTTAACGGTGACGAATAACCCTCGTATTTGGCGTCCACGCACTCACTAAGAATTCGCATTGGTCGTCGGTCTCGGCGTATTTGTCGTCGGTTCGCATGGTCCAGAATATGTCCACGACGTTGACGGGTTTGAGCGACGGTTGATTGCACAGTCGAGCGACGATTTCGAGGCTCTTACTGGAAACGTCGACGATCAAAAGGTCCCCGTAGTCGAACCCGACCGCCAGATAACTCGGCTCTTCGACGGAAAACTTTAAACACGTAATGGTCATCTCGCCGAATTCGTAGAATCTGAGTGTACAAGTCCGACGATCGGTATTAGATTGAGGCTACAACTTACTTGCTCACTATTTTTACAACTCTTTTTCGCACACAAAAATGCAATTCATTTGAGCGCAGTTTACGGACAATACGAACATTTTTTTAGAGGAATTGAACCACTTGCAGGGTGTATAATAATATACACCCTACTCGTGGTTAAATTGTATGCGCATAACATGAGTATATCTCCAAATTTTCAAATTGATCGTTACTGATGGTGGGAAATTATTTTACTCGTACAACATTTTCCTTTGCCCTTTATAAGTCTTGGGACTTTCTTTCTAATCATATTCTAGTGTCATATATTGGTGGCTTTAAAAATGTTTTTTGAGCTTTTTTTAATTTTGCACAACTTCCTTAACAAGTCATTATTTGCGATATTCTCGATTAAAAGAAAAAAATTAACACAATTACAATAATGTATACAATCAAGTCATTTACATAATTAAATAAATAATATAAAAAAATATGATGAAATATATAATAAAAATATAATTAATTAGTATCAACTACTGATGTACTTGGCGAGCATGGTAATTATATTTTTATATTTTTATTATGTTAATGACTTGATTGTATAAATTATTGTAATCACGAATATAAAGTAACTGATATATGAAAACTGATGAGAAACTATGATTGAAAATAAACGTTATGCTTTTATAGTGTACGTAGCCTTTACACCCAAAACGGTACCTACAAGTTATTTTTATTCTTCACAATTATTGTGCGCAAACAAGTTGTTGGAAATTTAAAAAAAAATATGAATATGTGCCCGAACAAAGTAATGTGAGTAGGTTACCTTTCGGGCGCGTGCGGGTTTTTCACGCTCCACACGGCCACTGCGTTCACGGGACCGTCGTAACCGACGGCCACCATGTGGGTTTCCGTACGGTTCCAGTCCAAGCAGCTGACCGCGGCCGCCGGCCGACCCGCGGCCACCGGGTCCATTGCGAAACAGTACTCGAGCGACGGCTGATCGTCCGGACCGGCGGCCACGCGTCTTTGCGGCGCGGACAGGCGAACCCAGCCGGGGCCCGCGGCCATGCGACCGCCGTCCAACGCGTTCCGAGCCAACGCGCGTTCCACGTACAACGCCCGATCGCAGAGCGCGTGACCGTCGCCGTCGCGCAACGCTCCTGCGCCGCCATCGGCCGCTTCGTCGAACGCGTCCGTCACGTCGAACCCGTGACACTGCGTCCCGGCCTCCGTCACCGAGTTCGTCGCGCCCTGGCAGCCCACGTGGTTTGTCCAATTGTGGACCGTTTGCGTGGCCCCGTCGGTCTTCTCGCGCGCGCAGTTCGCCACGTACGCCTCGTTGTTCCCACGGATTCTATCGAACTCCTGCTCGTCCCTGCGCACGACACGTCCGCAACGCAATGCAACACACAGATTTCGTCACACGTACAACGCACCACGTTACGTGCTCGAACGTGGTTGTTCCGAAATATTAGGTGCCCGTAGCACGAGAGGGTTGATGATGGATTTGATCTGTGGCCGGACTAGATCCTCTAAAAAGTCCTACCGTGTGACGGGCACCTAATATTTTTTGGGACTCGACTCGTTGCGAATGAAAATCCGGTGATTTACTCCTACGGATCAAGTCTTTCGCTTATCCACTAACTAGAAAGACCCAATCCGCCGGAAATTATTAAGAAATCATTATCTATTTTAATCATAGAATATCATTTGGTTAGTGAATAGTAGTAGTGGCATATGACGAAGTAAGTCCCTTCTAGGGAACCAGTTTTCGACCCACTTACGACTCATTTTCCTATTCATGATATAATAACAATCGATCATCAATTCACCAGTGCCCATTAACCTTTTTTTCGTCGGAGGCAAATTATTATGTTTATCCATTATTATTTATTATTAATTATCAGTTATGTAATTAAAACGTACGAGTATAAAATATGTTAACACAAGCTGATAACATAACAATAATAACTGACGAACCACAAGCAATTCGTTGTATTAATTCGCAGATCTTTCAAAACGGTTTGAAAGACCAGAGGACTTAGTCTTCAGCACAAAAGTCAACAAAATTCCTCCATTAACTAATGGAATTAGTCCGCTAGTGGATTTGATCCGTCAAAAATAAAGACTTTTTTTTATTTTCACGTTAGTTGACACAACTGGAAATCTATTCCAATAGATTGAATCTAACGAGGACCTGAGGACCTAATTCGTCTTGAAATCCTCTCATATATGGAGAAATATTTTGGTTAAGGTTCACGTTAAGATTAACGTGCGCTACAACGTTTCATATATTTATTTCGTCGAAAGACGCGTCGTATTTCGATTCGTAACACTCGTAACGGTAATATGGCTTGATAAGGTAAGCAGTCCCCAAAAAATGTTTACCAAAAAAATTACCACTAGTTGTATATTAATGATCATATGCTATCGATCAATAGTTAGAAGATCAAAAGTAAGTTGTCCAAAGACTCTGGTTGTATTTACCACTTTTCGTTTTTATACCATTAGGGGTTCATAACGTATTTATTCGAATACCCATGTATTTTTACGGGAAAAAGAAAAAATATTTGACGGTCCTAAGTATTATTTTTGTCATACATAAAAGTTTAGTTGAAATTTCCTTTTATAGCTATTTTTATGGGAAAACCATAGAATTATTTTTTTTTTAAAGTTAAAATTAACTTCTGAGAAAAAAATCCACTATTTACTCCGCTATTACTATGATTTGATAAAATGTATTAATGAATTTTCAGTTGTTTTATTTTAACAACCGTGTACTACATAAAAATTTTGTCGAAAGTTAAATATTACATAATTACTATAGAAACTAATTAAAATATGTATATAAATTTAGATAGGGTTTAATTTATTAAAAATCAACATTTTACGATTATCTTAACGAAAACGATACTGATTGGTTTTTAAATGAAATGGTATACACTAGCTTACCATTTTACCGCTACAATGCTTGGTAGGCTTGAAATAGAAAATCTATTTTCGGTAAGTTCAATCTCATATTCCTTTATAACGTGTTTCTCTTTCGGATAGGGAATATTAGAGCCGGGATCATATTTCAATTCTTGGGAGCTTATTCCATCACGGGGTGTTGAAATTAAATTTGCAAATAAATCGTTACAGTCTTTTTGCTTCAAGTGAACAAAACTATCAACGTAATCTTCAATGTCAATCATCCGAGGTCGATTTTTTTTGCATATTGTGCGATTGGTTTCCATATTTCATGTTGATCTCAAACTTTTTGAGTGTCGTCCCGTTCGATTTCCTCATGTAAAACTTGCAATCAGTTTTATGATTAACTGAAGTCATATTCTAATGATTATGGTTTCTTTATGTCTCAACTAATTTCAAAGTAATCTTTCTTTTCGTTTTTTCGTCAATTGATTTTTAATTTTCTTATTAAATATTAAATTCACACATTTCAATTACACAGTTCAAGGTCACCAGTGTAATTATTGTTTGCTAGGTGATTTAATTATTGTTTTATTTATTTTTTTTAAACTCCGAGTGAAACGAGGAATGTATTGGTTTTACCATAATGTAAATTATTTTTGTGAATACACAATTTCGACAAGAAGGACTGTTCCAAGCATTACCCAGTAATAACTGAAAGTTAGAAAATGTGTTCTAGCTGGTTCTTTAGATAGGTTATTTTTAGAATTTCTGAACAGTTAGAATTTAATTTTTAAAAAAATGAAATAAACGGAGAACATATTTTAAAAAACATAACATTTCAACCAAGATTTGAACCCCAACCATTACATACATATATAACCACAGTTTAACTTGTCACGCTGTTTTTTTTTTTTTTGAGTCTTGGTACACGATTTCGACCAGAAGGATTTTTCTGATCTTCACAATCATATAAAATTTCCAAAAGGAAATTTTATCCAGTTGGTACTTTAATGAAGGTAATTTTACGAAATAGTTTTCTTAAAAATTGCGAAAAACTAATGAAAAGTTATAAAAATATTAAAAATATGACAAAAACGGCATATAGGTTTTCATACATAGTGGAAATCGATTTTTTTTGTTTTTATCGTAATTCAAAAATAGTTATAGACACTTGAACGTTTTACTTAATACTCAAATCACCGTTAGTAATAGATAGTATAATTTTAAAAATATATTTTTTAAGCTATTTATAGAACATTGAAGTGAACATGTTTGCTTTAATTTTTTCCAAAAATCCGAAAACCGTAAATCAAGAAAATCTACTACATTATTGTAATAAAACTCTCATAAAAATTCATAAAATTTTAAATATTTATCCTTATAGCTTGAAAATTGGACATGAGATTTTCATTTAATTTTTGCGTAGTCGAAAAAAAAAGAAAAAATTGGAAATTCAGAAAAATAATTTATAAATATTATAAAATAAAATGTTGACAAAGTTAGATATTTCAACAAATTTCCATTATGTAGTTAACGATATTTCATAGTTTCTAAATATTTGAATGAAGTTGGTTTATATGAACTTGGAATATTTAATTTTTCCAAATATTTGTTACTTTTTTTTGAAAAAGTTAGAAGAATAAAAATTGAAATTATCTTATTAAGAAATTTGATTATTCTTAAAAAATATAAATTTATCTACCCGATCTCTTTCACTCAGAATCTTTTTCTTTTTTTTTTTTTTTTGAGATCGATGGAACATTGGTTTCAAGTGTAAAATATCAAACAGCAATACCATTCACCCATCCCTACATCTCGCCCATCCTATGAGTCTTACCTCTACCGTTATTACATTTTTTTTTGATGAAAATATAAAATAGTCGGTTTTGATTCATTTATCTATATGAATTATTTCAAACTAAATAGTTTTTGAATTTCATAGAATTTATACATTTTGATGGCTATAAATACTTTAATATTATAATTATTGCAATTTTTTTTAATAAAAAATATTTGATTTTTTAAGGAGTATTGTTATTTCAAACGATTTCCATGACCT